TATATATATATGTATACACACATATAGACATCTTTGTATTTATGTGTTCCATACGGGCAGTAGGCGAGTGCATTTCTGTGTGGTTGTGTGCATGTGTTCGGATTATGGACAGACGGACGGCCGCGCCGCAAGGAAGACGGTCAAGGCATGCTGCCACGGGGTCATCTCGCAACCTTGCAGCACAACATACACAGATACACAGACAAGCAAAAAGCAACAGCGCAGACAGAGGGGTGCCCGGCTTCTTCCTTGATTCAACGCATCATGCTGGCATCACCGGATCACAGGCTGCTGATCAATGATGGCTTTACATACTAACGTCACTGTGGATGCCAATCGAAACTCCAAAATGTGCACTTCTATATAGCGACGTCTACACAGCATTATGTGACGTATGACCGAATGAAACTGACCAGTGGTAACGTAAGGCGCACCCAGGCTGTTTTAGCCACGTGTGCAGTTGACAACAATGCATGCAAAGCTTGAGGCGTATGAGGTTCCTGAAAAAGTTGAGGCGACTGGCTTTCTCTGCATCGGGAGTATGCAATGTTTTAGGGGCTTTTGGCAGACACGGCCTAGTTTGTTTGGGGTCCAAATGTAACGGCATGCGGAGCTTTACAAGTTGCAGTGTCTCAGGCCTCACAGAGTTGGTACTCAGGATCGGACGTCAAGAGACAGGAACCCTGCTGTCTGGCTTCGAGCTTCGGGTGTCTTAAGCTTTCAACCAACAGCTTCGGGGCTTTTCGAGTTTTAATGATCTCAGGCGAGGAAAGCCGTTGTGACTGATGATGAGCCGATTGGATTGGACGAGCCCATGAAATGAGCAGGTGGTTCCCTGTTGCTGGGTGCCATATGTGCAAAGCCTCGCAAAGCCATGTCTCATCCTGTGTTGCAAACCCAATCTGGGGATCCAAGAGCAGCACGCGCTGGTATGCACTACTAAACTTCATGTTTCTGTTTGCTTGTAGAAGTTTCGGGTGGTTGCATTTGAACTTCGACTGGGTGCAAACGCATGCAGATCGCAATCGTTTTCTCAAGTCACGCACAGTCCCCTGCAGCCGTCAATGAGGGTTCGATTCAAAAAGTACGACGAGCCGATAACACTCCTGTTGCAGAAGCCTGAAAATTATCTATGTCATCGGAATGTGCAGCGTACAGCTGGAACCACGCAAGGGAATCTGCTCGTGCCAGGAATCAGAAACCATCAACCGACTTGCAAAGCCAACTCTTCCCCATGCTCGCCCAGCACTGCTCCATGAAGTCAGATCAAAAACCAACTGAGCAGCCTCAAATTGCACCTGTGTCCATTGACACTCGTTTAGTAGCGGCGCTGGGACGGCACAGATGCTCTCGGTGCTTTAGCGCTGTCTTCGCTCCAAGGTTGAAAGTTAGGCGAGCGCAGGTCACAAAAGTCGTGTCCGCTCAAGCACCAAGTCTCCAAATGTTCGATGTTGTGCTGTTACTGGAAAGACCGAAAAACAAACACCTCCCACACTGACACCCCCTTTGAAATTTGTCATGTACGTGCTACGTATATCCACATGGATACAGAGAGTTGGCTGGATAAAAGCGCGAAGATTTGTAGGCTGCTGCGGCTTCTCACAGACCGACAGATGGACTACAATGACTAAAACTGGCATGCATTCTTTCACAAAGGTCTGAGAGCAGCAGCTGCTTCCCGGTTTGGGTAACGGTTCAGAGCAAAGGGCTCTCCTCGAAAGCACGGAAGGCAGCTAGGCTACCTGTGCGGAAGTTGCCAAGTTTGCCAATCTGTCTTGGCAAAACATCGTGCGTGAAGATCGAGTGCATGCAATCCTCTATTTGCAAGGCACGCAAGTTGAGGAGCAAGCACTTTCACGCGTGTTGCCACGTTTCTCTGCAGAGAGTCAGCTGCTGGAGGCCTTACGACTTGCCTGACCTGAAGCATGCACAGACTGTGCCATCTTCATAGACGTCAAGCCAGCCAAGTGCATACCTCTTCAAGATATCCATATCGTCCTTGTGGAACTAGCTCCGTTGCACTACGTACTGTCTGCCGTCAGCCGACGCAGAGGAACACCCTGCCTGGGCCTCTGACTCAAAAAGTTATCCCAGCAAAAAATCGGAACTTTCCAGGCATGAGTGGCGCTGCTCAGGCTCTGGCCAGTTAGTCTGCACTCCGGCCCGTGGTTGTTCGCACAAAACGTCTCTACACAGACGGCCGAACTTTCAGAAAAGGCCACGAAGCCTAATCCGTACGAACCTTGGAGCCCGTTAGTCCTTCCGTCTGTGAGTGCGGGGCCTTGGAGTGCAGACCCGGCT